GTCTTGCCTTAATATGCTTGCCGCGCCCGATAACGGGATGACTAGGATGAGTATTTTTTTCCGTAGTCACACAATCTCGGAAAAAAGTTGAGCAAACACGTGAGCAGTAACCCCTCAACATCAGGTGGCCACAAGTATCCATCTTGGAGGGATGCTGACGCGTGTCTTTCGTAGACAATCAATACCGCTCGTCATAAAAATATTAGAAGATCAAAATACGCTAATACTTCTTATGATCTATTTATTATTTAAGTCGTTTGCCCCCGCTACATATTCCTGTGCTTGAAGTGACCCACCTCAACTGCCAGCATGGACGCTGGTTGTCCAAAGCGAACATGATCGCTGGTCGTCAACAGTGACTGTGGTCTCCGGTCATTCATAGGGACCATGACCTCTGGTCATCCATAGTGTTTTTAACTACTCGTCGTCAAATCGTGACCTTACCGATAGTCACCGCCTGTGACCGCGACTGGTCACATGTCCACTGTACCGTTGGAGATCTCGTGCGATCAGTCTTAAGGCCGGCGTGACCGGTCCTATATGAACTCATGATGTAGAAAGATGCGATTGGTCAGGATTTCTCCCGACCGCTCCACCACACGCTTGTTGAATGAAAAGGAGAACTGTGTTCACTTATTTGTTATCTCGTGGATCAAGCTCCTATTTAATTGATTTTAGACTAAAAAGGATTGATGATGTAATTCAACGATGAAATTTTCAACTTCACTTTTTGTATCGGCCCAGTATTTTTTCTCGTCAAGGAAACACTCGTAATAGAACGGTTTACTTAATAAAATTAAGAACTTTACACACCCGCTCTTTTACAATGTATTTGCAAATTCTACCATTTCTACAACTTAAAGGATTTTTTGATGCAGCTACAAGCCACATCAATAATATAGTACCTGAGCTACGCTAACGCCAAAAAAACGTAGGTGGTGTATTTATTTTTTCTCTTCAAGGTGTAAATAAGTTGCACAAGAAATCGAATGCCGTCGATTTCATTTTATAAACAATTTCCATCGACCACAATAATTGCCTCAATGTGCATCGAAACGAGCATAGACACTTTTTTATTATGAAGGGATCATGTAAATAATCGCATCTTTTAAAGAAGATTATTGAACAAATCTAATGTACTAACGTTACAAAAGGATAAACGAGAAAGAAAGAAAACAGGAAGAAGAAGACAAATCGAACGGATTGTCGATATATACGGAAATGGCGTTTCCCCAGCTATTCCAGATCAGTAGCAGCACCACCGATTATGAAATAGCGAGAAGAGAGATATTGCAGCGATGCAGTGAACACCACACGATACTTACCTCATGTAAATATTTTGCTTATTGATATTCTCAAGAGGCTGTACGAAATGCCTTTTTGAAATTATAATCTATGTGCAAACGAATCTTTACGTAGCCCTGACGTGGATGAATGTTGACAGCGTTCAACCACTGTTGATAATAAGATCCCTCTATCGCCATGATTCATATTAAAACATCTTTAATTTTGTCCTCTCTCGCGTGGTACGACATGTGTTTCGTTTGATAACGGGTGCGTCATAATGAATTATATGGCTGCATGTAATGGAGCTACTCTCACTCCTCTGTTAGAGGAAGACTTCTGTACTAGCACATGCTCTTAGTGTATAAAACTAATACTTTAATAAAGAGTTACAAGTCTGTCAGATTTGATGGGACTTAACCATCGATATCCAAACAATATCGTTGGCTTCTATTCTTAGTTCATAAGACTAATGAATTTGAGAATTCACTTGACATTTGTGTGCTTATAAGTGCTAGCCTTAACACAGGCTCATAATTTTAACGACCTAAGATGTCTTTGCAAGACCCGTGTCCTCTAAATTGTTGAAAGGAGAGCTAATTCTATCAACTGAACTATAGTGTTATTAAACCTGATATACGTACTTAACCTTCACACCAAAAGAAATGGAAGCAAGCTCTAAGCTCGCCATTTGGTATAAGTAATTTAGCTCATCAAAATGAATCAAGTTATAAACACAGTGCAACGGAAATATTTACTGAAGAAGCAGCATAATGCTTTAAATATTTATAATAACCTAAAACAGTTTACGTGGGCTATACAATCAGACTTTGTTTATGAGCGTCCAGCATTTGCTAGTGTGATCATTTTCATCTTTGATCAAAGTAAATCCTATCACAAGCGTGTGTCACAATAGTGACCTGGCCAAAGACAGACTTTAGCGGTACCTACATACTCATGAAAAGGGGACATGCTTCACTGCACTTAGTACGGGCAAGGGACACCTGGACGCTTTAGTACCAACACACACAGAAATTACAAATTTTGAGTTCAGCATGTAACCTTACGCACAGTCACATCTAGCTTCACCCTTCGGATTTGCAAACTTTTAAACGAGGAATCTATATGGAGATTCTTCGAATAATACCACAAATGATATACAACGTACTTAGAACACCCTTTTACGATAGATTTCATCCACTTGCAACGGATATGGCATCCTACTTCTGCTAGTGTATTGGGTATAATAAAACGCCCACCAGTTTTACTGATACCTCTATGTGTGTGACACAACACCGTAACGGTTCCACCAACCTTTTTTGTGATCTTGTTACACTGCTGGTATCTACAAAAATATGCGGGAGCTGAGCATTTGGGCAGAATTAGTGCCAAGGACAATTTTTGGGTGTATGCAATACCATGACTTCCAATTCTTGCGAAACACGACCGTCTTACATAGTAAGCTTGACGAGTAAGTTTTACATACGAGGTCGGCCAACAAAAGTGACTGCTCCGATTTTTTCTTTGACAAAAAGCAAGGCAAATACCAAACAGCTAGGTTTTTCTTCATTCGGCTGGGTCTTTCTCAAGACTTCTTCAGAAGTAAATTCAAAATAACTATAAATTACGCCTAAAATCGTCAACAGTAGATCCCGCTCAACTCAATTTTATACATATAACCACGTGACCACAAGAGTTCTAAACGTGAGCTTTCTGCACCCACGTAAAGGCTTAAAATCTTAGGATGTTAGGCTCACACCCGCTCAAATTCTTATTCACTGTTTAAACTCAGATTTATAATGTACAAATAAGCCTCTTACATCGTAATTAATAAAGGTGTATCAAATTACGGTGCTAAATAATAATAGCTAGCGACGTCGCGCCCACCACCAATTTTTAGGCGAACCCATAACCATAAAAACATGGGAGTGGGTGTGGGCGCCCAACTTGAACTTTGGTGCCCGCTCACAGCGTATTGTAATGACGCGGGTGTCAAACAATAACACCCTACTCCACTCGTTCCTGCTGCGTTTAGCGTTTCATTATAAGAAAGGTGCCTCTTTTTGATGCTGTAACGGGGGAAGCACGCGGTTATTGAACTGGTTATGTTGTGTGTCCACAACAAGTATAGATCGGCGGATCCGAGTGGTACAGTCTTGGTACCACGCACTTACGGTAACACCGGACCTTATCGGGCAGGGACAAGGTATCAGACTTCTGTCATAGGATCGCAATGTAGAAGTCAACCAGACAAGGTTTTAGGGTTTTATTACCGTAGTTGAAGAATAACTAAAGTTCAGTTTTCCTTTTGAATCGTTGAACACAAGTGCCTAGTCAAGTCGAAGTGTGTTGTTTAGAGCATTAGCCTTGTCAAGGCGTTCACTCTTGTTTAACTAGTAGTAACTAGTTAGTGCGTGGTTCTTTGAATTAACTCCCCTTGGAACCGGGATTGTTAAGCTTGAACGACTGTGCGTCTTGCTAGTTTGTTATAGCTATGAGACGCTTTGAGTCCAAGACTTCCTCTGTTAAGTAGCGCTAAGTAGTTCCGCGACAGACGCAATCATAGCTACAGTCAATATGTCCACCAAACATGGTTCGTCCACGCGATTACAAACGCTATTATTTGGGCAGTATGTCTCGCCTAAAAATAATGTAAACTGCGCGCTTTTACCCAATTTGTCAACTACAATCGCTATCACCGAGATATTACACAGTTTGAATGCCGCAGTTGTCTCTGTAAGCAGCAAATTCACACATAAATTGGACGCGGATGTATGCGCTGGCATATTCCGCTGCTCTCGTCGCCATAGCACATTTTTCTAAAGTCATTTGCGTCAAGAATGCTGGGCATACTCCGTTCACTTCGACTTACTTGGTGCTCCTTGCAAAGTTTAAGTACAAAAGAATGTATGATGACCCGAAGCATTTGACAAGCATTCTTTTATACTTGAAATGTGGATGCTCGATGTGGCTGCATGCTTTTGTTCTGGGTGCCAAAAAAATTAGTTTTCGGATGTGAGCTATGCCACCGACTCAAAAATGGGGGATGTTCACACATGCGAGGTATGTGATCAAGCTTTGCGCATAACATGCTCATGTAACAGCGCCCAACTCGTACTAGTCATAGAATTATGATGAAAAACACGGTGACTGTATATTTATGGTTCGGACTGTATACCTAAAAGAATGCTAGCCGAATAAAAATGAACCCAGCCGTTAGCATCTGCCAAAAATAAGGAGTGGATCTAGCCAAAAGAAAAAGTGTATCTTACAACCCACCAAATAACCAACTGCAACTTGCTCACCGCGCGCGCGCATGGTGGCGAGGCCTTATCAGTTGATTTGTGGCCGATTTTGAGTTAACCATAGAGCAGAGCGTTTCCAGAAAAACATACTGATAATATTCAGAGCTTACCCTATATAAATGTAAAGAGCTCGCCCCGTTACATTGGCGTCCTTACGCTTTGCCAATGCAGTGAGCTGTCGAAGATCCGACTCCCGACTTTCAATAATGTTTAAGGCGACGTCGTCTGCACTCCCTGAAAAACGACGTCGTCTGCGCTCGCTCCAAAAATGCGTCAGACAAATATAGCTCAATGTACATCAAACTTTTCGCTTGGCATGTTCTCTCACTTCGACGTCGCCTTGAAAACGAGAGCGTAGCTCATGCCTCTGCTATGGCAGTGTCACCAAAGCGTGACGATTTGCACAGGTGTTTAGTTGGCAGGGTCCGTCCAGCCGCGTTTCTCCAGCTCCTGTCCAATGACGGAGGAGGTTGCCTCATTACACACGCGCTTTCTGACATTCGTCGACGTCGTGTGTGGAGTTTTTATCCCGCGACACTTCGACGATGCTCGGCAACTACTGTAAGCCAAACGACCGCCGTGCTGCAAACACAGCTGTTCAGTTGCGACTGTGAATTCCGCCTCCTGTTCACTGAGACGGGCTTGAGTCATGGGCTCCGACCAGCCACAGTCCGATCAAAAATTCCACCAGTGACAAGGGACTGGACGCTCGTAGTCCGTGCGTTGCATCTCGTTGACTTGATAGGATCGCTGCATTGTAATTGACACGAACACGTGTCGTCAGATTGATTTTGGTTGTTGAGCTTGAGCTACGTCTCATACTAGAGCATGTGTGATGGTATTGCAGCGATCGGTCATGTGAGACGCCTCGCCTGAGCCACAGCAGAGTCGTGCGTGTAATAGCCAGCAAAACAACAAGCTTTGCCGTCTCTACCCTATGCTTGACAAAAAAGCGACTCATGCTACGTGCACGCGGATGGGGATCCACATGTATCGGCTGCTTGCATGGCATCGTAAAATTTCGCAACTGGACCACGTGACGCGTTGATTGACGTCGCCTTTACACTGTGCCTAATGCATGTGCTGCGCCGATGTATTCCAGAAGCTCTCACCTGGATCACTTTCGAACTCGCCACATACCGCGCACACTCGACCCAACCTCTACTCCTCTTCCTGCACGATGAAGCTCACCACTGGTCTCATTCTCGCTGCTGTCGCCCTTGTGAACGTCTCTACCAGGTCCGTTGCGACCGCCCCGACGTATGCTGCGACACCTGCGGTGACTCTGCCTTCTCAGACGGGTCCAGTTCCAGAGGGGACTACGCAAATGGAAAATTCTCCAAGCACCGTGAACAAAGACAACTATGTCACCTTCGACCCCACGAAGTTCGAGACGACGGATCCCTCAACTTTGACTGGCCTGGGTCCTCAGAGAAGTCCAAATGACAACTTTGGACCGTTCGGGCCTCCACCAAGCACCGCAAATCACGACAACTTCGCGACATTCGACCCCCGTGATCTGCCGGCACGCGGCAGCCGGTGGATCGGAGGCCCTGGTCCGGTAGTGAGACCTGGTTCGCCTGGCTACAAGAATGAGGAAGCCGACAAGGCGTGGAAAGATTTCATCGCGCAAGGCTCTTCTCATGGTGCAGGCGACGCTCCTGTTAGATGCCCAGGGGAGTGCGGGGCCGAGACTGAGATCGAGGCTGAGATGATCTGCGGCAACAACGGTCTCACCTACGCCAGCGAATGCTGCCTCCATGCCCATCAAGGCGACCAACCTGTCGAAAAGGCCCACGAAGGTCCCTGCGAGATGATTTCTGCTGGACCGCTGGAAACGTAGCGTGTCTACTGCTTTGGGGCCTCTTTGGTGGTGAACGAGAGATCGTGAACACCCATTGGGGGACAGAAGGTGTTGAAGTGCACGTTGTTGTTGATAAAAGCGATAAAAATGCACTTGTTCACTCTTGCTGTTGGCGAGTCGTCCTGTTCCTTGATCCTATGTTACAGTGGTCGACCTTTATTCAGATGACAGATGACTTGTACGGCGCTATCAATGTATCGTTCCTGTATTTACTACAACATGTTGGATTGTTCGTAATAAAGGAAAGGACTTGCTGTATTCCTGAGCATACCTGTAAGAAGGACGCGGTTTGAAAACACTCGATTGAGTTGAACAGGTTTACTTGCGACTCGATCTCGTGTCAATTATGAGCTGAAGCACACTGTATTTAGCCACTGATACAACGTCAGTCTTCAACCCGATAGAAGCACTCTTTTGTTGCGAGATCGAAGCTATTCGTGAATGAGCGCAAAGTTGCATGCCGAGCTTTTAAATCGCACTTATCTGTGTGTGAGTCAGTGTGTCTGTAAATAACGCGGACATGTGTTGCTTACCTGTACTAAGTGCGATCAAGCCTTTCTCCGACTCATCCGTATTTAGGTATTTTCAAAGTCACTCTTTGGCTAGGTCACTATTGGAGCGCACGCACGTGATTGGCTCAAATCGACCAAAGGTGAATATTATCATGTGAGCCAACACTGGACGCTCACAAGTAAAGGCCGATCGCGTTGCATAGGTGTACTTCAGGCTTTATTAGACTTTAGCAGCATCATACGCCTTCTTCAGTGACTGATGTCGTTGTATTATGTATTGCAACTTGATTCAGCCCTCCAGACTGGATTACTTATACCAAAGGGCGAGCTCCAGAGCTTGCTTCCCTATCTTTTAGCTTTGTAGTTCCAGCTTCAATCTGCAGCGGTCTGGTAAACCAAACTGCACACCTCTTCTTCTCGAAGTCGAAAAAAAGGCTACTCTACTTCCAGTCGTTCATGCTGGTGCTTGAATATTTGTGGATTACTTTTCATAAGTCAAAGCGATTCCACCCGTTGTAGCTGGAAAACGATGCTTGCATTTGTGAAATTTAAAAACACGATAACGATGCTCTCGAGACAAATCTCATTGACCCCTACAAACGTCATGTCAGAAAGTTGCAACAACGTAGTGAATACGTAATTGTGCTTCGTAGTATCCGAGTATATGGCATCTTTGACCTACACGAACGTCAAGATTTGACAGGTCACCGACCTGTCGCAGCGAACCAATACCATATAGGATACACTATGCCCTACGATCCTAGCAGAGTTGTACTAAGCGATTCTTCCTTGCTATAATTCGCAGTGTATGCCGCCACCGATTGATCAGCAGATTTCACCAGATTTGGTCCGCCTGACACAGTCTTTGACCTTGTAGCTAGTGTGACCACCTGCGCAAAGATGATGAAACAGCGGACGGGACTCACCCTGCCAGCTGCATCAAGACGTGAACCCACCATTCTTCCATCATTTGATGAGTTCCAAAGAGCCACATCCAGTTTATAAATGTAGCTTGACTTTTGAAGATTGCCTACTGCGATCAAAATCTCATTTTGAGTGTACGCACATGCTAGACGCAAAGAAACCTGCAATCGTAGTAGTGCCATATACTACTATGCAACAGTGAGTCACCCGCATGCCCATCTTTAGTAGGGACGTCCCCAATACATGACGTAGCGACATTTTTAGGTGATCGATTACCAAGTTTACGTCTAACTGGTTTCTTGCACCATATCTCTGCTGCTGCTTATCGTACGCAAGTGTGCAAGCCCTACCGCTTGTATTAAAACGCAGGCACACTATCAGCATCACACATAATTAGATTGGCGACCAGTACCAGTACGTCTCTTTGAATAATCTAGGAGGCGCAGACGAAGCATTGGCCAGATACTCGATCCAAATGAATACTTGTTTCGGAAAGGAAGAAAAAACTTGTATTGAAGATTACGAACGAAAGGTGCTTTTGTGACTGCAGTTCGATCGTTCTGAGCAGATGGTCGTCGGTAAGTAAGGTCGTGTGGATCCTGCACACTTGAATTCAAGACGGCTGACAAGCCAGCAAAAATACAAGGGATCATCATCATATCGAAGCCAGCTGTGACGGCTTATACTAGGACTTGAAAGAAAGGCTTGAGGCTCTATACCATTCGACTTTTACGAAGATGATCATCCTACATGCGCTGCGGTATCGGCACGCTTTATTGTAAGCAAGCGGTTAAGCACATGTTTGTATGTAGCGCTGATGGCGACGTAACTGCTGCTGCACCACATACCGAATCTGATACTTGGCGGTTGCTGATAAGAGCACCACTTTGTTTTATCAACTGGAAAGTTCCCGAAGTGGATCTGCAATGCTCTTGTACACGAACGCTTCCAGCGTCTACAATGACCGTGTGCGTCACGACGGATGTATAATCTGTTGTACTGGCTGTTGTGAAAACCCGCTTTGGCGGTATGCATACGAACCAATGAACGCGTTCGTTGTAAGGCATATGCCAAGTGAGGAATCGAGCATAGTCATGTTTTCGTACGCATATGTACGAGCTGCTTGCCACTTCTGAGTTCTGCGAACCGTAACCGGTAGCGGCTTCATTCTTCGAATTGGGGACAACCCACACCGTTCACTACAGTCAGGCGATCGATCGATCAGATGCCAAGAGTTTCCGTCCCTCGTGTTGGCTGCCGATCCCAACCCTTGTGAAAGTGTGACCAATTAGAGAAGTTTAAAAATTAGCTCTTCAAAACCTGTCAGACTTGGTCTCGTGACAACCAGTCCATCCATCGACAATTAGGCACTGAAAGAGTGGCCAGAAGTCAATAATGGTGCTTTACATTGTTGGACTAGGTCTTGGTGACGAGCAGGACGTCACGCTTCGCGGGCTGAACGTCATTAAAACAGCGCACAAGGTCTTTCTTGAGAATTACACGTCAATTCTAGGTGTGAAACTTGACAAACTGGTACGAATGGCTGACTCAATGTGCTCGCCACCGTTAAAGCGCTCTTGATCGCATTCGATAGCCGTGTAAACCTCATCATACTTTTGCGCACATTGTTGTTTCCAGGAAGCATTTTACGGCCGAGAAGTCCTCTTGGCTGACCGAGATTGTGTCGAAACGGGTGCAGATCAGATCTTTGCGGATGCAAAAGATCGAGACGTCGCTTTTCTCGTAGTGGGCGATCCCCTTTGCGCGACGACGCATTCGGACCTCATTCTACGTGCCAAAGAGCTGGAGATCCATGTTGAAGTGATCCACAATGCCTCCGTCATGGGTGCAGCTGGGGCTTGTGGTCTCCAGCTCTACTCCTTTGGACAGACAGTATCGATTCCGTTTTTCCGGGATGAGTGGCGTCCCGACAGCTTTTACGAAAAGATTCAGTATAATCGTAGAGGCGGTATGCACACACTTTGTCTGCTGGATATCAAGGTGAAAGAACCGGACTTTGAAGCCATGTGCCGAGGACGCACTGTGTTTCTGCCGCCTCGTTTTATGACGGTGAACCAAGCGCTCGAGCAGCTCCTTGAGATTGAAGAAAAGCGGCAAGAGGGAGCTTATGCGAAAGACACAATGTGTGTGGGTATGGCTCGGCTCGGTCAGAAAGACCAGACGATTCTTGCTGGGACCATGGAGGAGCTCTTGCATGCTGACTTTGGCGCTCCTTTGCACTGCCTTGCGATCACAGGCGAAGTGCACCCGCTTGAGGAAGAGGTGCACAGCAGTCTGACATGAGTATGTGTGCTTGCTCTGATTTTGCGGCGTGTGTTTCATATGCTACAGATGCTCAAGCAGTTCCTTGTACAACAATAGCGACGGACCATCATGCCCAGAAGGATCGATTTTGACTGCTTTCATCGTCACCATTCTACATGCGTGCGTTTTCATCCATGATGCGCGAAAGCTTTGCCTCTGATGCAAACAATTTGTGGACGGTGCAGTCTGGAAGCGGTCTAGGGACCACAGCACAGACCTCGTGTGCCGACCAGGTGTGACATTTCTAGCAGTTGTGCAATCATGAGCAAGCTGTTCAGCCACCCGGAGGATCCATACCACAAGATTCCGCGCATACTACGGGCTTCATAGATGGTATGTGTATGTTGTAAGCAGGAGAACCTGGCCGAGTAGGAAACTAACCTTTGCTTGCAAAACCTGCTTGTGCGCAAGGCATGCATGCCATACTTATCATTAAAGTTGGAGTCTTACCTGCACCGTGGTGTGAATGAGTCAATAGTGTAGTGTTTGATTCTTGTCACACAATGAAATGGTATTCAGATCCAGGTCCGCTTTTTTACTCATGCGACTAAGTCTGCACAGCATTTAGCTCCTGCAGCATCCCGAAAAGACGCAGGATGTAGAACCTCGTATCCGCGAGCGTGTTCACAATAACATGAATGCCGCTCTCGACTCCACTCGACTACAAATTTACTGCATATAGTGACGGACGATCTCGGTCTTCTAAACGTGCCCGATTTCTCAACCTTGGCTTCCATCACACTATTGACACACGAGTTGTGTCAAACTTGTCGTCATGACGTGACTTAGCCGACCTGCGCATATAAACGCTAAGCATCGCAATTCTTATGCTTTCACATGTGTACTTTCGTTCTGACTATGTTGGTCCTTTTTGGGTCATACGTGTCCTTTAGCAATGGCATGTATCAGCTGCATGCGACCGCGCAAAAGTTAACGATTTTTGAAATGAAATTGTTGAAGCTGATGTGTTTGCGCCTACCGGAAGGAATCGAAGGACTTTTTCTGTGTGCAATCTTTGCCTCGAGATGATAATGCTCTGCCATGCGCCTAAGGTATCGACTGTCGGTGGACTTCTGAGAGAATATCTAGCGCATTCGAATTATCTCATTCATTGCGATTCCTATCGTGGATAGTGTTCACATTTGTTATGGCGACGAGTTGCCACTGATCTCGTCTTTACGTGTCGTACGGTGCAGCTACGTTAGTACATGCGTCGTGCGTGAGCTTTTCTGCACTACATTCCTTACTGGGACACCGTCAAAACGTAGTCAACGTTCGTAACTTCGACTCGTGCTGCCAATGCTCGCGTGAATCTCGACATTCTTGTTGTGGTCGTGTGATACAGTCAGACTGACGGTAGCCCCACTTCAGTACACGGCAGAGCGCAAAAGTGATCTGCACAATGATTTGTCGTCCCTCTCTACCTTGTATCGGAAAATCGGTATCGAATCACAGCCTTTTAAGACGAGGCTGGGGGTTTTCCCTTGTATCAACTTCAACTGTCTTCGTATCATTCAAGTCGATAGAGCAAGCTCTGACCTGCTCATGAGCTTTCAGTTGTTGCGCTTTCACAACGTCCACATTGACGATTGTATACGTTGAAGCACGACGATAGCTTAAAACACGACGATTACGGACACGTGTTCGAGGCGTATGCATATTTGCTTCACTTGCTTCATTGTGGATGTTCGGTTGCACTCTGTGTGCATCTTGTCGAAGTGTAGTAAGATACAAGTAATTGCAGGCGAAGTCAACATACTACAGACCAGCAAATAGACGCTGCTGCCGAGCTCGTGAATGCCATGTTGTTGTATTCACTCAACTACAGTCGATCCGTTGTAGAAATGGCAGTCAGTACGCAAGCGCCGCTTTGACAACCTTCTGTGCATTGATGCGGCCGTAGCCATACTGATTGTTGGGGAAGGTCGTATCCGCGGTCCCACCGCATATTCGATTCGCTTTCGGCAGCGCCCGCTCCGTCGAGTTGATAAGGATTGTCCTCATGCTATCAAAATTCAGTCCCGGACGGGCACTCAACGCCAATGCGATTGTGCCGGATAGGTGTGGCGCGGCCATGCTTGATCCCGACATTAACAAATAGTCCGAGTCGCTGCCGTTCCATGCCGAGCGAATTCGTACTCCAGGGGCGGTGAAGTCAGGCTTTATTCGTCCATTCAGAGAGGGGCCGAGACTACTGAACGTGCCGATGACGTCGCTAGCATCGGTCGCTCCAACAGAAAAGGTGTCAGCCATGTCACCTGGAGACACTACAGTACGACACCCAGCGGCGCCCGTGTTGCCTGCTGCAAAGACCGAAAGGATGCGGGCAGCAGCCCAAGCGTCAAGACTTGGCTGAAAGTAGGAAAGACCTTGGCCGACGCCCCAGCTATTGTTCACGATATGTGGCGCTTTTGTGGGGTCGCAGTTCTTGCCGTTCGTATCGGTCGGGCACAGCATGAACTGCGCACAGGCCATCAAGATTGTCAGCGGGCAAGCTGCAGCTTTACAGCCCTTGCAAGTCATCCACTTGGCTCCAGGAGCGACTCCCACTCCCTTCCCTCCGACAATGGTTGCGACCGTATGGGTACCATGTCCATTGGGATCGAACGGAATCGCCGTCTTCTCTACTGGATCGTACCAACCATAAGCACCCACCCAGTTGCTCTGCAAAGTTTCGTGGGTATGGCGCACGCCCGAATCGATCGTTCCGACAACTATGCCCTGGCCGGTGTTGTTCGTAGCCCAGACACTTGTCGCTTCAATTTTAGTGGCACCCCACGTTGCAGCATCAGTGTTGCTGAGAGTGTTAGCAGTCGGTGGAGGAGCGGCAGTCTCCAGATCGATGATGACGTCGTAGATGATCTCCTTTACCCCCACAAGCGCAAGGATACTTTCAACTAGACCGAATGGGGCGTCCGAGACTTCGATCGTGTTGCTTATCCAATGACTTTCGAACTGCACACCCAACAGGGACAGCAGCTGAATTACCGGTCCCTGACTTCGTCGCGCATGTTGTTGCAGTGCATTGACAATGCTCTCGACGTTCTGGATCCGCTGCTCTTCTGTCCACACTCCAGTGTCGCTGTTAGCTGCTGCTTGCAGTACTGCCTTTGTATCGTCTTCCATGACGATGACGATACGATCTGGATCGTACAGGAGTGAACCGACAACTTTCACCAACGAACTGGCCGTCGTTGATACAGTTGTCGTCACCACTCCTAGCAAGTCATCAAGTAATCCTGCTTGGGTACCGGACGCTACTGGCATTGTCGTGGTCAGGACCGTCAGCAGGAAAAGCGAAAGAACTCGACATGTCATGCTGTGCGTTCACTGCAAAGATAGTGCCTAAAGCTGGATGATGAAAGCAACGCCACGGGGACGGTGGTTGCAAAATACTTGCAAGGTGAATAGGTAAGTAAGTGATGCTGAACAGCATGTGCAGCAGGGACAGACAGACGACCACTACAGTCATCGAGGTGCTAGCAAACTGAGGTGGTGCGCTATTTCGTTACGGTTTCTTAATCTCACAAGAGGACGGAAGGTGCCAAACTCCGTAAAAGTACTCGTGGTGATGATGAATAGGCAAACACTTTGCAGGCCTCTGCACTTCTGCATTGAGTCAGCTAGAAGCTGTTCATTAACTTTCGTTGTTGTCATTATCTACATCTTCGCCTTCTAGTCGGAGGTGAAATACATAGCGACACATTGCTGGGGTCTTGGCACGACCACATACATGGCCAAGCGACCCGACTCGTTCGATCGAGCGTACCGAAACGAACAAAGAGTAGTAGGGACTGTCCGACCTTGGTCGTTTCGGCCGTTGCGACTTTCGTCGTGGACGGCACGGTTTGTGCCTGTCCTTCGGTTCTCCGTTCGACTGCTGATAAGGCTGAGGACGGTCACTACGAGCGGTTTTTCCCGCGAATTACCGACAAAAGTTAATCTAGCTCGTCGTGCAGAGCGTATCGCCAGCCTCGCTTCTGGGAGACGTCGTTGTGGTCGTCTGTAGACACGAGTCAGACGTCTGAAATCGCAGTGCTTCAGGTAACGTGAAGGCTTTTCGATACGCGAGAGTTGAGCTGTGGCTCAACGTTATGGGACCATCTACCAACAGATGAAGAGAATGATCAACGATTGCGCTTGCGTTGCACCAACAAGAGGCACAATTGACGAATATTTGCTGCTCATCCGACACTGCCTATTGATCACCGTGTCTTCCCAGTGCAAGATCGATGGTTTCTACGTCTATTTCGTTTCCTAACTCCCTCGTCACGTCTACACGCCTTGTCTGTTCATGTCGAATCAGCAATCTCATGTAGAAATATGCTCCTTCATCGCTGCACGCGTCAGGAAGCGATAACTGTCATGCTCATCACTTTCGACAGCACTGGATCCGAATAGGCTACTGACTGCACAATGGCATCTGCACTTGCCGATGCAAAGACTTACTTCACACTGGACCGGCAGAAAAGTGAATGGATGGCCGCATGTTGGTCGGAGCAATCGAGTCTTTTGTGAAAAGAATGGGTGGTGCGCGGTTCAAGCCGTTCATGAACCGTGAACCGTGTGGTGACAAGAAGATAACACCGGGAAACACATGGCAACGTTGCCCAATTTCCAGCAATCTGGTATAAATTTAAACTCGGCTTATTAACGTGTCGCTGATAAGTATACATGTCAGCTGAGCCCACTCGTAAAAACAATTGACTGTTGTTCAGCTTATACACGTTAGATGCTGCACGAAATACAGTCTAAGGTCGAGCGCTTACGACCCTGGTAGACTCAAATAAGCCTCACTCTGTAATAACCTTTGGACTTTTGCAGTTCATGCCAGTCGTGTGACCTACTTACGTAGGTATCTCCCGATTTCGCAAGATAACGACTGTAACACATTGTCGAGGGACGACGACCGATAAAAGGTCCGAAGCCCGAGTAAAACTTACAGTTGTTGTTCGGAGCCATTGCATCAACTTAATGCAAGGAGCCGCTATGAGGAGATTGCACGTGACACTCGCGTGTTGACGTCACTTTGCTTGGTGGCTTACTGCTAGGGTCCCTCAGCTATGCGTAAATGTCATCCGATACAGAACTGCTATTGACATGCGATCCGACCGAGTGTTCGCGACTTTTAGTAAAGTAGCCTTTTGAAGCTCCCATGTTGATTTGGACACGACGTTACCGCATTTAGCTCTGCCTTACAAAAAAGAGCGTAAGTACTACCAGGATACACGCCATTCAGCTGCGGCGCTTAAGTTCGTGCGTGATGAATCGAGCTCTGCCCAAAATGTCGAAACGTTTGAACATATCAACAAACAATCAGCGCACTTACTAAAACAGTGTAAAAAACTCTTTGTCCCGAATTAAACACGAATAAATGATCGTTTCGACGTAGACCATCTCCATCATCGCACCGTCATTCGTCGAAACTCAATCGACAGCTAGTGACCGGTAGCTTCCTGCCTTGAGATGGCCTCTACACAGTCGTTCGGCAATGCCCAAGCTGGTGCCGGTATCGACATGAGCTCAGGAGGCATTGGTATGTCCAATTACGATGAAGAAAAAGGTACAGTCAATGCACAAGAGGGTGGAGTTTGTTAAACTGTTTAAACGCTGCTATAACTCGAGGATGTTTGTTTCACCAGCGAAATGTGCCGCTTTCCTGCTAAATTTCACGTCGAACCTGGATGAGCCCGCGCTGGGCCCCAAGTACGTGCGGATGATGGTGCGACGTTGTGCGGACTCCATTGTCGTTTTGCCGCTTTTTAACGCGTGTCTCATCTGTTTTTTTGCTGTTTTAACAGCAAGAGGTGGCGAATCGAGAACGGACGTCTATCGCCATTTCGTTGGACGACATGCAAATTGTATGCTTGTTTAAACGCTTTTACTCGTCATGGCTTCAGTGAACATGCTGACTTGTCGACCTCGTCACTGCTTTTACTCAACGTGCTGGCTGCAGTTCGAAAAAGACGACGCGACGTTCGTGACGCGCATCGTCCGTAACGCCCGACGATACATTTCGCTCTTCTCGGACGCAGTGGACGAGAATCTGCCACCTCCGACTCGCGATATCTCGGACTTTCAAGACGTGCTGGATGTGCTACGACTGACTCGAGCGCAGGAAATGGCTCAAGATCTTCAGACCACTGACAGTGAAGGAGACGGCAGCCACGCGACGGCTTTAAATGCTGCACACGTGTTCCCGCCTGCTCTGATGCGGCGTTTCGAGGTGCATTTGGTTCCTGGTGTCAAGCTGAAAGCTGTGCCGATCCGGGAAGTCAAAGCAGCCAAAGTTGGAGCTCTTGTGCGCATCAAGGGAATGGTGACGCGAGTATCGACTGTGAAGCCGCTGTTGACAGTGGCGACGTACACGTGTGAAGCTTGTGCTTACGAAGTGTATCAGGAAGTCAAGGCGCGGCAGTTTAACCCACTGACACAATGTCCAAGTGAACGCTGTCAAACGAACAGAGCGCAGGGTCGTTTGATCATGCAAACGAAAGCCTGTAAGTTCGACAAGTACCAGGAAGTCAAGTTCCAGGAACTCCCGGATCAGGTGCCAATGGGACACATCCCTCGATCACTTACAGTGTATCTGCGAGGCGAGCTCACGCGAACGTGCGAGCCGGGCGCTCTGGTCACAATCTGCGGTGTATTCTTGCCGTTACCGTACTCAGCTCAAAGGCAAATGCAAATGGGCCTCGTTACAGAAACGTATTTGGAGGCAACTGATGTGGTGAATCACAAGAAGCGATACTCGGCTATGGAATCGTCAGAGGCAATGGAGAGTGCCGTCCTGCGATTGCAGGAAGGCGCTGAGAATGTCTACGAGGTGCTGTCACAGTCACTGGCACCAGAAATATACGGTCACGAAGACGTGAAGAAGGCGCTCTTGTTGTTACTTATTGGCGGCGTGACAAAGCGTATGGATGAGGGTATGAGGCTACGTGGCGATCTAAATGTGTTGCTCATGGGCGATCCTGGTGTAGCGAAGTCTCAGCTGTTGAAGCACATTGCTATCGTCGCTCCCCGAGGCATTTACACGACAGGAAAAGGTAGTTCTGGTGTTGGTTTGACGGCTGCAGTGGTGCGCGACGCAACGACAAAGGAGATGACACTTGAGGGTGGTGCACTTGTCTTGGCGGATATGGGAGTTTGCTGTATCGACGAATTCGATAAGATGGAGGAAGGTGATCGCACAGCTATTCACGAGGTGATGGAGCAGCAGACCGTCAGTATTGCCAAGGCAGGCATTACGACGACGCTGAATGCGCGCACTTCCGTGCTTGCAGCTGCAAATCCGATATACGGTCGATACAACAAGAAGCTCAGCGCCTCGCAGAACATCAACCTCCCGAACGCGCTGTTGTCTCGCTTCGACCTCTTGTTCTTGTTACTGGACATTGCCAATTACGAAAAGGATGAAGCACTTGCGCGCCACGTCACGTACGTCCACCGCTTCTCCCGCAACCCCGAGATGAAGTTTGAGCCTGTGCGACCGGAGGTGTTGCGCTACTTTATTGCAATTGCCAAGCAATACCAGCCCAGCATTCCCGAGCATCTTTGTGGCTATATTGTTGAAGCATATGTCACACTACGTCAGCAGGATGCGAACGAGCATGCTCGTGAACGACAGCAACAGCAATTTCGTCAACAGCATTACGGCAACGGTGGTGCGAATGATGCACAGACGGCCATGACGGCCCGTCAGCTGCTGAGTATTTTGCGACTTTCGCAGGCACTTGCACGACTGCGCTTTTCCACGGAAGTGATTCACCAAGATGTCGATGAGGCCATTCGACTGGTATACGTGTCCAAGTCGTCGTTATCCGAGCAAGATGACGCTAATGGCACTGGACATAATGGCAAGACGGGCACAAACAGCCGAAGTAGTGGGTCTACTGATGCCACGTCCAAGATCTTTCGTTTGCTACTCGAATTCGCCACGGATCGCAACCTCAAAGTTCTCGTCATGAGTGATGTGGAGCCGGTTGTTCTGCGCAAGGGCTTTACTTCGCAGCAACTGAATGCCTGCATTGATTTCTACCAGGAGTTGGAGGTGATGCAATTGTCTTGCAACGGCACGCGGCTCACTCTCATCTAGATCAAATGTGAGAAGTTGCTGCGACGATGATACGATGATGGCAACGGTAATAACACGTATGGCCTGACGCGGATTTCGTTATCGGCTACCCAGGCGCGTACTGCACCAAATAATGAACCGAAGTCAGGATCTGCCCGACAAGACACGACATCTGATGGATCAGAGCCAACATCTGAATGACAGAACACTCCACAGACAACCAACCGACTAATGATTGTGTACAAGGTGATGGAAGCGTGTAACAGGTAAAGTATAGCTAGCTTGTTGACTGATTATTCATCTGCACGCTGACTAAATGCTAATGTAAAAGTGCACTTAGAAGCGGACCATACGCTCGAGCATGCGCTTCTTGTCCTCGAGTTCACGAAGAGTGGCTTCTTCGTGGTCCTCCAGCCAGTCACGGGCGTCACGAATGGCGCTCTCCACCGTCGTGTCGCCCTTCTCACGAGCCTGCTCAATCGCGCGGTAAATGAATTGTTCCAGGTCGTTACGGGCCTCAATGCGACGCAGCATCTCCGCGTCGTCCTTCTTAAACTTGTCGGCCTCGGCAACCATGCGGTCGATATCCTCCTGGGTCAAACGGCCGCGGTTATTAGAAATCGTCGTCTCCGCCTTCGCACCCGTCTTCTTGTCGCGAGCAGACACGTTCAAGATACCGTTCGCGTCAATCTCGAACGTCACCTCAACCTGCGGCTCGCCACGTTTCGCACGCTCCAAGCCCGAGATGTTGAACTCGCCCAGCTTGTTGTTCGACTCGACGCAAGCACGCTCGCCCTCGTAGATGCACACGTCCACGGACGTCTGGTAGTCCTCTTCCGTCGTGTACACGCGGGTTTTCCGCACGGGAATGGCCGTGTTGCGCTTAATGAGCACCGACATGACCTTGCCCACAGTCTCAATACCCAGCGACAGCGGCGTCACGTCCACCAGCAGCAACGAGTTGGTCGCATCGTTGCGGATACCGTCCAAAATCGCACCCTGCACGGCAGCACCGTAAGCCACGGCTTCGTCCGGGTTGATCGACTTGGATAGCTCCTTGCCGCCAAAGAGGGACGAGAGCATCGTCTGCACCTTGGGAATACGCGTGGAGCCTCCAACCAGCACAAGCTCCGTCACGTTCTCGGGCTTCATCTTGGCATCTTCGAGCACCTTCAGCACCGTCTCCTCGCAGCGCTTGAACAGCTCTTCATTCAGCGACTCAAACTTGGCACGAGTGACCGTGGACGAAAAGTCCACACCCTCGAACAACGAGTCCACTTCCACCGACGCGCTTGTGGTCGTCGAGAGCATGCGCTTGGCCGACTCACATGCCGTTCGAAGACGACGCATGGCACGAGCCGAACTCGACGGGTCCAGGTTGCGGTTCTTGCGCTTGAACTCTGACAGGAGGTACTCGACCATGTTGTTGTCAAAGTCCTCGCCACCAAGATGCGTGTCGCCACCAGTGGACTTGACCTCGAAGATCCCGTTCTCAATCGAGAGGATCGACACGTCAAAAGTACCACCGCCCAAGTCGAAGATCAGCACGTTGCAAACTTTACCGTCCGTGCCAGCGTTCGTGTCGAGACCGTAGGCGAGAGCCGCAGCCGTCGGCTCATTGATGATTCGCTTCACGTCCAAGCCAGCAATAGCGCCAGCATCCTTGGTCGACTGACGCTGCTGGTCGTTAAAGTACGCGGGCACCGTAACAACTGCTTGCGAGATGCTTTGGCCAAGGAACGCTTCCGCCGTCTCCTTCATGCGCAAGAGCACCATGGACGAAATCTCTTCCGGCGTAAAGCTCTTCTTCTCCCCCTTAAACTCCACTTCAATCAACACCTTGTCGTCGTCGCCCTCCTTAATCGTGAACGGGAAGTGCTTGGCGTCCTTCTTCACGACTTCGTCACTGAAACTCCGACCAATGATCCGTTTCGCGTCAAACACCGTGTTCGTGGCATTCCCAGCCGCCTGGATCTTGGCCGCTTCACCGATCAGACGTTCGCTGTCGTTGAACGCGACCCACGACGGCGTCGTGCGGTTGCCTTCACTGTTAGCAATGATCTCCACTTGCCCATCTTTCCACACGCCGACGCACGAGTACGTCGTACCGAGATCAATACCAATGACCTCCGAGAAGCCCTTCTCGGCCCGCTTCGCCCGCTCTTCCCGCTCTTTCCGCGCTTTGTTAATCTTCTCTTCGATCTCCATGCGCTTCATCTTGCGCGTGGCTTCGTCCATCTCGACGCCGCTAACCTCCTCGTCCTGCACTTGCAGCGCCGCCTGTGCCTGGGTCAGCCCCGCCTGCAGCGCGCGGTTGCCCTTCTCCACCGTCAAGCCTTCCGTGTAGGCGCCGATGGCTTTCGCGTAGTTTTTAATGTAGAAATGCGCTGCTCCTAGACGGGCGTAGCCCTTGGCGAACGTCGCGTCCAGTGCAATGCACGACTTGGCGTCCTGCATGGCTGGCGTGGCTTGCCCGGCCGATAAATAGGCAGCCGAGCGGTTCGAGAAGTAAATCACGTTGCTGGGCTCGTACGCGATGGCGGTCGTGAACTCTTTGATCGCAGTCGCGTGGTCGCCCGCAGCAAACGCGGCGTTGCCTCGCTCTTTGGCCTCCGCGCCGAGCTTCACCCGTTCGTCGGCGGGGACGCTCGCGTACACGTCCTTCGTGGTCTTGCGGGTGCGACGCTTAGGAGCCATAGCAATTGCAGGGGATGAGAAGGAGGAAGAGAGGAAGAGAGCGCGACTTGCTCGCAAGTATCCGAGTTGGAAAATGACATCGAGGGCTTGAAGCGCTCGGAACCAACCGCTGGCAGGTGGCGTTTAAGGGCCAGTCATTCGGTGATTTGAGCCGTTTAGGTCCTTTTTGGGGATGTGCATCGGATTTGTGAAGAGGGGGACTGATTTTACGTGGCTTTTCAGAGGTTTAGCTGTGGGCGCTCGCGACGTGCTCATTATTTGGGACCTTTTTTGTGAATCGATTATTGGCCAGTAGTTTGGTCTGTAGGAATTTAGATAAATAATCTGATTCCGTACCGGGAGTCTACTTGATCGTGTAGGTCAGATAGAGAGGCATTATAGGTTGAGACTGCGCCTGTCGGTGGAGTGCGATACAGCCCAAGCGTAGGCAAGATGCGCGAACCGTGGCAAAAGTTGGTGACTGCTTGATAAATCAACACTTTATTTAGCGATGTATAGAATGCCGGTATAAGAGCAGCGTTGATGGAGTAAATTGCAATCTGGTAAAGAAATGTAGGTACATGTAAGAGCACGGCTATTTAACGCACTGTATTTGCTAGATACAGCTAACAATCCAAGCGAGAGATGTGTTCTGTGAGGGCAAATACGATGGTCTCGTTTCGGGTGGACCAAATCAAGAATGATCCTACCGGTACTGACAGCACGGACGGTAATAAAACCGATACTTTGCGATCCAGGAACTACCTCTGTCCCGTTTCAATTGACCGATTTCAATGGTCAAGGCCGCGAAAGCTGATGCTGATCTCGTCTTCTCGACGTACCAAGGCGAGAAGCAGCTAGCCGAGCTAGTGAAGCTAATCGACAAGGACTTGTCCGAGCCTTACTCGATCTTCACGTACCGCTACTTTCTATACAATTGGCCACAGCTAAGTATCCTGGCGCGAGTACAGCACAAGCTCGTGGGCGTTATAATCTGTCGCCAAGAGCCCCTGGGCGCGACGCCCGAGGAGACCGGAGACGACGGACTAAACGGTCCGAACGATCCAAAGCAACGACGGAGAGGGTACATTGCCATGCTAGCGGTAGAGAAGCAGTACCGCCACCGCGGTATCGGCTCTCAGCTGGCGCAGAAAGCGATCGAGCGGATGCGGGACGACGGCTGCGAAGAAGTGATGCTCGAGACGGAGGTTGCCAACAAAGCTGCCATCCGGTTGTATGAGAATCTGGGCTTCGTGCGCGACGAGCGGTTGGTCAAGTACTATCTAAACGGGGGCGATGCGTACCGTCTGAAGCTCTGGCTGCAGTGACACCTCGTCGGGTGGTTCCAGTTTGCCTGCATTGTACCGCTAATGAAGTCAGGCGCAGTGAGTGGTAAAGGAGATTTGTAGGTTCGAGCGCAGCGATTCAGTTCGTTACAGTAATTAAAAGGATACGCTGGGGTCGCTGCTGACTCGAAATGTAATTTGCAGCCAATTGTTTACGCCTTCGAGAAGATGTTCAGTACTAGTTAGCTTGGGTGAGCATTCTGATAAGTGTACGAAGTTTAGATGGACTACGTCGTGCCGAATTCTGCTTCTTTTTGCGTGTAAATTTGTCTTGTTGCGATGCGATGATGAACTGTGGTAGCCACTGAGAACGCAAATTTTCAGCTGCGTGATGGCTCACATTGTCTATCGTTCTACGTCGTTTATCACGCGAAGTGTGGTGAGTCATTGTGTAACGGGGCACCCTGAAGCTTGTACTGGTGACAGTACAAGCTACTTATTCTGATAACAGAATAAGGCGGTGCCTCGTAACTTCACGTACACTCGTACGTGCAGAGGAAGACGGTAAGAAGAAGCGAGTACTCGGTTAGAGTAAAAGTAGAACTGTATTTATAATAGTTAATGTCTGCAATAAATCACTATTTATCTTCATCTAACTATGTCTAAATACAAATGTGTAAATCAATTATCTGCTCACCACTCATTGCGTGCGTCTGTCGTGGCGCGTCTTCGTTGGTTGATATAATGGCCTATATCAACCAATTAGGAACTACTTGTAAGTGCTACAGAATATTTGTCCTTATGACAATATTCTGAGAATATAACTCTTATAGTTATATTCTATTAACAATTTCTTATAAATTGTTATGTAACGATTCACCCCGTTACATCACCCCCCTTAACCATCAGTCACTTTAGTGACTGATTGACTAAATGGATACTCGTCCCAAATCATTTGGGACAGGGTTTGCACTTGTTGGTCCGCGTCCACTTTCCAACATTTCATCGCATGGTAAACAAGCCCATGCGATGCGCGAGCAAGGCCGCCGAGAGCGCGTCTGCACGTCTCTGTGCGGACGCCGAAGCAGAAACAACAGCAACTGATGTCCCATCGGTTGCTGAAGCGACCCAGCCTGTGTCACTTGGTGACGCAGGCGCTGGTCATGAAGACACTCGTGTCTTCACAGAGTACGAGCTCGGTGTCTCGTACTCTCCTGATACGGATGACGGATCCGTATCGACGGCAATTGAATCCAAGCCGCCTGCCAAGCGTGGCATGGACGATGCTTTGCGTCGCAGCATCTTTGGTTCATCTGATGAGTCAGATGAACCATCGCCGAAGCGAAGGCGCTCGAGGTCGCGAGACTCGGGCGCTAATAGTGGTGTCGTTTCTCCAATGGACACCACTTCACAGCGAGGTGCCAGTACTTCTGTCGGCACGTCGCAGGAAGAGCGGGACCGCAATGTGTTGCGTCTCGCTCCAGAAAAGAAGGCATGGATGCCTCCTAAATCTGTCATGGATCACTTGTCGGCGACGACGAGTGATCGTTATCGAACACGATTGTTCGATTCGTCAAGGATCCATCACCTTGACCCCAGCGCGAAAGACTATCGCGCTGAACATGAGTTCTTCATCGATGCTTTCTTCAGACATCGATGGTACAGTGGGAATCACAAACGTGATGGTCCCTCACTACTTCAGACGTGGAACGCCTACATCCATAATCTCGAGGATGTAGGTCGTGACGCTTGGAACGACAAACTTATCAAAGCTCGTGATAAGTTTGAAAAGCGAACCCCGACAGGTGCACGCTATAAGCTGCATCGTCTGTCAAGGGAGAAAGGATTACCCTGCCTCTCTTGGGGAGACTCGTGCCCATGTTGTGTGAACAACTCTGCACGAGCACCTAAGGAGGCTTACCTCCTTACCAGCCCGTGGTGGCGCGTACGTGTCTCTACTGAGATGTACGAAGGGATTGACAACCTGAAATCCCTTTACGACCGTGCCGGGAAGACTTTCTCCGGCGGTCCTTCTGCGGCACAGGATGTGTCGCGTCTTACTGCTCGACCAGACCCAGTACGTCAACCATCAATTGGGAGCGGGGCTCCCAAGAATCCCAGGACGGGGGATAGCCGCGCCACCGGACGAGGTAACTCGTCCGACGTCCGTTCACGTCGCGGTGGTTCAACAGCTGCTCTACTAGATAGCGCTGGCCACCGCGAGAGTCCTCTAATGGAGGTGGAGGAGGAGGAAAGACGCTCTCCACACGATCATGTGGATCGGTGTGTTCCCGAGAGCTTCTTTGATCGCGTAACGCAAGGGTTACGCGACGATCTCGAGCATGAGCGGAATAGGCGTCTCCAGATGGTGGACACTGCCTCGAAGCATCGAGCTGAGTTTGCCTTTGCTCAGCTTGAGAACGAGAGATCTCTGACATCTCTTCGTGACGAGCTAAGGGTAGCTCGTGGGATTGTTGATCGGTCTCGGGCTGAGATAACTGCTCTTCAGACCCTTGTTGATGCCCACCATCGGGAGCACAAGGCTCTCTGCGAGATGCTTGAGCGCAAGGGCGTTCTTCATCGGAAGAAGCAGCGTACTGATGGTACGGCTTAAGCCGACCAACGTAAAACGTGGGATGCGTTCGCATCTTACGTGGTAACTCGATCGTGTATGCATTGCCTAGGCGGTGCAATACACGAAATGGGCCAATGTACTTGGGTAGTAGTTTACTGCTACCCAAGTTAGTCACTACATGTTTTGGTAGATTAACCGTAGACAGTAGGACTAAGTCACCTTTATTAAATAAAAGAGTGTTTGCCCTTCCATTCTTGTCAGCGTTTTGCTTTTGCTTATCCACCGCTTCGGCGATGGAGTCTTGCACAAAACGGACTACCGTTTCACGAGCCAGTATGAACTCATCTGATGACTCGTTAGCTTCAGTGTGCTGTGAGCGCACTGCAGCGACAACAACCTTTTCTTCAGTGAGGGCTTCCGCACTCTCACTGGGATCATTGTCTTCAGTGAGGGCTTCCGCACTCTCACTGGCATCATCTTCTTCGATATTGATGTTATCGATATCGGCATCAAACGCAATGACTTCTTCGTCAGAGCGTGATGAGCGTGAACCAAATCGGTTTTTGCTCGCGCGAGTCCCTCCCCCCCTTAAACCAGAGTTACACTCTAGTAAGGTGGGTACACGCGGATGGCGCAAGCCATACACGTAAAACGGTGTATGTGTCGTGGACGCATGCACCGAGTTGTTGATGGCAAACTCTACCATCGGCAAAAACTCACTCCAACTCTTAAAGGAGTGTACGTATCCTCGAAGTATCTCTTCAAGGACACGATTGGCACGTTCCGTCTGACCATCTGACTCTGGATGATCAGATGTTGACATCTTCAAGCGCGTTCCGAGTGATTTGAACACGGAACGCCAGAAATCAGCAGTGAATCGTGGATCTCTGTCTGATACGAGTTCACGGGGCAACCCATGAAGTCGGAAGATGGTGTCAATAAAGACACAAGCACAGCCACTTGCCGTGATTGTCTCTGGTACAGCCACAAGGTGTACCATTTTGCTGAGTCTGTCAACAAATACGAGAATACCCGTATTCCCGCGTGCGTCTTTGGGTAACCCGAAGACGAAATCCATTGAGATGGATTCCCAGCACTCAGCCGGAACCGGTAGAGGCTGTAAAGGTGCACGCAGTGAAGGACTTGACTTCACTCGTTGGCAGACTTCGCATGCGCGAACATACTTTCGCACAAACTGATACTGGCGGGGCCAGTAAAAGTCTCGACTTACCGTGAGATATGTTTTCTCTCGGCCACGATGTCCTCCTATAGGAGCATCGTGATACTCGAACATGATCCGCAAACGCAGATCAGTATCATCTGGAATGACAACACGTGGTGTGTCACCAGAAACGGCTGTATAGTACAGTAAACCGTTACGAGTAGTGTATCGATCTGATGCAGATCGATACGCGAACGACAATCGTTTCAACGATTCTCGAGATGGTTGGGAGAGATGTGACAACAACTTCACTATCTCACCATCTTGGGCGTATGCCCGCCTCACATCATCATACAACGTTGTAGATGGAACTGAGGACGTCATAACCGCAACAGTGACTGTCTCACTGTTGGGTTTCGCGACTGTTTCAAAGTCGGGACGACGTGAGAGTGCATCAGCGACGACATTAAGTCGTCCTGGTTTGTACTCGACCGTAAAGTTGTATTCTGCAAAGAATGACAACCACCGCGCCATTCGTTGTGAAAGGTGCGGGCTGTTCACTGCCGTGCGTAAGGACGCATGGTCAGTGTAAACAACGAAGGGTCTATCTCCTAATAGATAGACTCTGAACTTCGCGAGTGCATACTTCATGGCAAGGAGTTCCGTGTCATGCACTGGATAGTTCCGCTCAGCTGGTTGCAGCTGACGCGACTGATAGCAGACGACGCGTTCAACGCCTTCAAGGTCGTACTGCATTAATGCACAGCCGATTGCGAAATCGCTGGCATCACAGACCACATGAAATGGCCTGTCCTGATCGGCTATTGCTAGGACTGGGGATTGTATCAAGCTCTGCTTGATACCCTCAAAGGAGCGTTGACATTCAGCGTTCCATAACCACCTCTCGTTCTTTTTCAACAAACGAGAGAGGTGTACAGTCATCTCGGCGTAATTGCGTGAATACTTATGCAAATACGCCGCTAGCCCAAGGAATTTTCGAAGACCTTTGACATCGACCGGCACGGGCCAGTCGGTGATCGCCTTGATCTTTTCGGGATCAGGACGTACACCGTTCTTACCAACGATGCACCCAAGAAGTGGTATTTCGCTTGCTGCAAATATACACTTCTTGAGGTTTGCATACAATTGATGCTTTCGCATGATTGTAAGAACTTGTCGGACGTGGTACTTGTGAACCTCAACGTCCGACTTTCCATCCATAGCTCGACTATGGATGAATACGTCATCGAAATAACTCGGCGCGAATTCTCGTACTGGCCTCAACAGATGTGATACACACCTGTTGAACGTGGCAGGGGCATTACTGAGCCCTTGTGGCATTACTAGCCATTCCCAGAGCATGCCGCTAGGCGTGCTAACTGCGGTATAGGGTATATCCCGTTCCCGCATTAGGATTTGATAGAAGCCATCCATCAAATCCATGGACGAAAAGATGGTACTCTTTGACATACCATCAATGATTACGTCCTTCCTCGGTATCGGCGTCTGAGCCGGTACCGTTGCAGCGTTCAATTTGTTAAACGCGTGCACTATCCGCCACCCTCCTGTTGCTTTTCGCACACAGAAGGTCGGAGAGCTATGTGGGGAAGTTGATTCCCTCACATGGCCCGCTGCTAAACGATCGGCAAAGAACTTGTCGATCGCAAGTACTTGTTCACGAGGCAGTGGCCACTGCTTCATGACACAGTACTTCGAGCCTGGTTTAAGCTCGACTTCGTGTCGAATACCTTTATCCTTCGGTAATTCGCACGGAACAGTTTCAGGGAATACATCCTTGAATTCAACCAAATCTTCATAGAGAGGATTTTCCTTGAGCGATTCCCATGATTGGGACTCATATCGCTCAATTCGTGTCTTTTCATCTAGGACACTCTCGTCCATAGATGAACTACTGAGAACTCTCTCGTTCTCAGTAAACACTGTTGCTGACCTTATGTCGGTTACATACTCGTCGTCAGCGACGAGTATGCAGATCTGCTTGACTTTGCCACAACGCAGATCACGCAAGAACCTTTTATGTTCGAGCGTTGGCAACTGAGTGATCTCCGAAGTTAACTTCGGAGGCGCAATCAGATCAAGTGTATAAGCGCCTACACATGATCCGTTATTGACTATGACATTCAATGTCTCTGTCATTTCCTGGGGACTTATTCCCTCAGGCTTCGAAGGACTTATTCCTTCGTCTTCCCGGGGACTTATTCCCGCGGGTTTCGGGGAACTTATTTCCGCCGTATTTGTAATCTTGGGACTTATTCCCTTTACTTCCTCTAGCTGGGGTTGCGCAACCACAGCGAGATCCTCTACGAAAGACTCTCCAGTCGATCTAGGATTATCGTTTCGCTTAACCTGAGCGATCGATTGTTTCTCTTCTAGATGTTCCCCTCTAGGGATACATCTTTGTCCCAGTCCACCCGACTTATTCGAGTGGTGGACCTTCGGCGCAGCCTGTGTTTCCTCACAGCCGCCGGAACTTTGCTCCGAAGTGTAACCGTTTGGTACACTAAGGTTTTGTGCAGTCGTACTAACGACCGTACCACAAGTGAGGCCATCGCACTCACTCGTAGTACATCCACACGCTTGTGGACGCTCCAAAACGTTCATCAGATGGCCATCTGATGAACAAGCGGCAGGCATCGTTACTGTCCGATGTTGCCAGTTTACCCGTGGTTCGTACCTTCTGAGCCACGGTATTCCAGGATGACATCAAATTTGTCATCCAAATCCAATACGATAAAGTCATCGTCATATTGGGTATCTTCTAGCGTATAGTGAATCTTCACTATACGCTTCATGATTTGTTACGGATGCGCCTGTCGCAAGACGTACCGTCATCCTCGTAGGAGGTGTGTCACATTCACTGAATTTAAAGTGACCATCTTCTAGCGATTGGCGTCGCACAAGATTGTTGGACGCCCCACAATCGACTAGAGCTCGAAGGGACAACTTATTCGTCACTTCGAGTTTCAAGGTAATGAGTGAGATCTCATTACCTAGAGCAGCAACGCACAATGTCTGTGTGTTGGGAGCAACCTTCATCAAGAGGCCTACAAATTCTCTTGACGTTGCTGGATCAGTAGGGTGCTCCGCACCTACTGATCCTGTCCGTTTTTTGACGGTCCATCCCGTTGTTGCGTCTTTGCACCAACTGCGGACCCTCGTCCCTGCCCCTTTCTCATGGGTGGACGGTCACTACGCCCAGTGTCGCGAGACACTGGACGAGGGGCACTACACTCGTAAGCGTAGTGTCCTGTCTTTTGACATCTGTTGCATCTCTGCAACTTCTTGTAGCCTGTAGAGCGAGCCTTCTCGCTCTCTACATAACAGAGTTCCATCGGCTCTGGACCTCCGTTGTCATATCGTCTCGGTTGACGATATGATGTCGAGCTGGCGCGAGCCTGTCTCAGACTGAAGTCTTCCTGCTCCGCAATTGAAATGGCTTGTTCTAGTGAATCTAGTTCAAGCCGGAACAGGTGAGTCTTGACGGGACCATCCGCAAGACCCTGCATGAACACCGAAACCAACGTGTGTTCATCCACCGGATTGGAACTTATACAACTCGTGAGATGTCGTATATGTTGAGCGTAAGCGTGCACATCACGCTTACCCTGCTTGAGCTTCAAGAGTTCGGTTCGAGCTCTGAACTCAGCTCTAGGCGGTTCAAACGTTTGTCTGAGCCGCGACTTGAAGACTTCCAACGACCCAAACGCGTATGGGTCGTGCAGCTTGAGCCCCAGTGCCCAAGTCTTGGCACGTCCTGCCAGATTTGACTGGGCAAATGCAACTTGCATATCCCCGTCGTCGATGCGACGCGCCCTTATGGCGTCATCCAATTCGACGAACCATCTCAAGAGGGAGTCTTCTTCGACCCCCTATACTTTGAGATGTCAATCTTCAAAGTCTCGGGCCGACGCGAGTGCATCGACCCGCCAGCAGCAGCCTGCTGCTGTCTCAACAGTTCAAACTGTTGAGCACCTTGTTCTCTCAACAACTCTGCTTGTTGAGAACCTTGTTGGTGAAGCAAGGCTACTTTCTCGCGTTCTGCGTCAAGTTCATTTTGAATGAACTTGGCGATAGTAGCATGTTGGGCATCTCTATTGAGAGCCTCTAGCATGACGCTAACAGCATGGATGCCCATGGTCGAACCCATTCGTTCAACCGCATCCCATTCGACATCGCTCAAATGGGAGTAGCCGTCACGCGTAGCGTGAAAGCTTTGGTCATCTTCATCATCCAACATATTCATGTTGGATGTGAACGCGGTCCTTGGACGGACTACGAAGTGCTACCAGGTGTAACGGGGCACCCTGAAGCTTGTACTGGTGACAGTACAAGCTACTTATTCTGATAACAGAATAAGGCGGTGCCTCGTAACTTCACGTACACTCGTACGTGCAGAGGAAGACGGTAAGAAGAAGCGAGTACTCGGTTAGAGTAAAAAGTAGAACTGTATTTATAATAGTTAATGTCTGCAATAAATCACTATTTATCTTCATCTAACTATGTCTAAATACAAATGTGTAAATCAATTATCTGCTCACCACTCATTGCGTGCGTCTGTCGTGGCGCGTCTTCGTTGGTTGATATAATGGCCTATATCAACCAATTAGGAACTACTTGTAAGTGCTACAGAATATTTGTCCTTATGACAATATTCTGAGAATATAACTCTTATAGTTATATTCTATTAACAATTTCTTATAAATTGTTATGTAACGATTCACCCCGTTACACATTGAATTTCTCTTGGGTTATGCCCCGCCACATTATGAGTTACCCAGCACTCGTCTAATGTTGAGGTCTCGTCGTATTCAAGATATCGTGATGATTCAGCACTGACGTGTTTGTTTTGATCACGCTTGCCCTGCTGCTAGAAAAACGCTGCACAAAAAAGGATGACTAGGATACGTGGTGCGATTTAGTGCGACTTGACACCTAATACACCCGTTGATAATACATTTCGAAAAGGTCCTAAAATACAATATGGGAAACGTTATTCAGCCACCACCCTTTCGTTTATCAGCCACCACCCACCCATAATTTCACAAGTTTTATTAAATTTAGAAGCGTTACATTTCATTGGGTAAAAGTAAGGCCGGGTGTTTTCAAACTCAAATCCAATTTATTGTTTCACATATGTCCGCTTTTTGTGTGCTGCCATCTAAAATTAATGCCAGGTTTGTTTGTTCATTGCTGACAACTATGGAAAGTCTTGGGACACCGCCCAGATTGCGCATGATGGTTGGAAAAAGTAAAGGCAGCAATTGAAACCCATGCACAGCAACAAAGCTGTGTCGTAGTTGCCAAACGGACAAAAAGTGTAGGTAATACAAATATGATGCCGTAAGAAATATTTCACCCTGCTTCTAGTCAAACCCCTTATCAGGATAAAAGCGACCTCACTGACGTGCTTTTGCCAGGCGTAGCACGAGGTGTTTGCTCCGGGCTAGGTGAAGTTCGGCAATTCCGTCTCGTTTCGCGTCAATTACGACTCATAAGTTTGACAAACTGATTAT